ATTTCCTGTGCATATCCGTCGACGGCTGTGACGGCGCCTCCTTCTGTTCGCATGGGGTCTGACCGCCCCCATCTCTCTCTCTCTCTCTCTCTCTCTCGACTCCCCAGCATTGGCCTCCCTCATTTCCACACTCAATGCAGAAGTGTCCGTTTGTTTTGAGTCTGTTTCAAATTGAAGTCCCCCCCCCTTGCCCCCCGCCGCCGACGTAAATCACATGTGTCCATTTGAGGATGACACAGGGATAAATTAAATTGTCTTTCACCACCAATCACCAGCCCCGAAGCGGGGTCATTCTGCTTATTTATTTATTTGTTTTATTCGTTTATTTTCTTTCTGCATGCCGAACTCCTTGACAGCAGAGTTGCGGTCTGCTAACGAGGACCACATGACACTTTCATCTGCTGCGGGGGGGGGAGCTGCCTGCAGCATCAGCTGGCTCTCCTGATGACCGCCGATTGCTCCGAAAGCCGCCACCCTCGGCCCCCTCGGCCCCCACGCCACCACCCTCGGCCCCCACCCTCAGCCCCCACCCTCGGTCCACCCTCGGCCGCCACCCTCGGCCCCCACCCTCGGCCCCCACGCCGCCACATTTCTTTGGCAGCACTGCTGTCACCATGCCAGGACGTCATCTGCACGCCGTTCGCTCCCTGCCTGATTGTGTGTCACCCCCACTGTTTTTCTTTTGGTCCCCCCCTGTCCGTACTCCAAAGGAAGAATGAGATCATATCTCATGTTGCACAGTAACACGCACGTCCCACTTAGCACGTCTCATGGACATCGCAGAGGAAAGGGAACAAATTCATTGTTTTGTACAGCTGTGATCTAGCAGACAAACTGACCGAGCTAACAGAGCGGGAATCTGTGACTCCAGTCTTGGGGTCTTTCCTCCCCCCAGCCACCCAGCTGGCTTAATGCCGCCTGAAATGTGGACCAAGCATTGAAATACTGACAGCCACCAGATCTGGAGTAAGGCAGAGTTTGTCAGTTGGGCTTACCATTCTGCTAGGCAAAGCGGGGGCCATGCAAACAGCAGTGCTGGGCTGGCATGGCCTGGCTGGACCCCCCCCTCCGCGGTACGGGCCGGGTGTTTCATTCGCCACCCGTGACATGAGCTCTGCTCCCTCGTTCTTCCACCTTCGGCTGCAGACGGCATTTAGTCTTTTTCCCATTTCTACTGGGAAAATCGAGGCGGCACACGGGGAGGGGGGAGCGGGGGGGGGGAGCACTTTCACATGAAATGATAGCATGCAGATAATTGAGAAGTTTAAAAACAGGAATCTAATTGTGTCAGTCCCTCCGGGGGGGCTGATATTGAACTATCGTATAAAAGGCCCGCAGTTTCCTAGCCATGATTTATTGCTAAATCCCAGTATTTTTCAATACATTATAGTTTTTAAATTGTGTTTAAATTGAGTGTAGAGGAGCTTGGCCCATTAGGAGATGCAGAAATGAAGATTATATTTAAATATTCATGCACCCGGTACCTTATTATTGAATCTGAACACTAACAAAATCAATATTAAGTGCAGTTTGACATAAATTTATTTATGAATTTCGACTTTCTAAGTACTGTATTTTTTCGCTCAAAAACTGGGAGTATAATGTAGTAATGATATCAAAACAGAGTGTCAGAGTGCATTAGGCTCAGCGGCCGGTGAAGGCCCGCTTAAAGACGGCAGGCGTCCCAAGAGCATGCGAAAGTGCTTGCAGGGCAGAAATGTCGCTTTTTACAAACATCAGTCATTTTATAATCCCGCATCCAGTCCCAGCCGTTTGCTCTGCAGCTCACAGGACTCAGAGATCGGGGGGGGGGGGCTGTACCTGTTTCGGTCCCCAGTGCCACATGGCTCAGTGTTCGATGAAGGTGTCCCATCCATCCCTCTGTCCCTCCCGCCTGAGTGTCAGCGTACACGCTGACGTACGCAAGATGGCTGCTCTTTCACACACATTGCTCACCTTCTTGGCTTTACGGACGCGGTCCTTCAGAAAAAGCTCACTTCAAGTACAAACCCCCAAACTGCGAGGCTCGTATTTTAACGTCAGAAAATTAATTGTCACTCCAATTGCCCTAAATTACATTAAAAATAAAACTGGTTTATATGAGTCGGTTTATTAGTTTTCGCCTGTTTGTTTATAGAAAATCCGGCGAATGGTAAAAGGCTCTTTACTGGGATGGAAGCCATATCTCTGCACACAAGATGATGCCGTAAAGGACTGGGAGAAAAAAAACACAACATCAATTCTGGGGAAGTGAGAGGCGCCGTAAATCAGGGAGGCTCAGGCTTGCAGGCCGCCTCTAAAATCATTTAAATGGATTCAAAAAGGCCTGATTCTGTCTGGGGGTGTCTATAAGCACCACCTATAAAACGTATAAACGGCAGGAAGACTGCAGAGGCGCTCGGACGGGGGACCGCCGCTGGCTCGCCCTCAGATGGGCAGGGGGGGGTCACCCGGGGGCCTGCCTAAGGCGCTCAGCTGCAGGCATGACTGTCCCTTCAATGCCGGGGCCTTTTGGGGGGGGGGCGTCTTGTTAATCTACTGTAAGGTGACCTTTTGACCAACAGCTTTTTCTGAAACACTTTAGATCAGATCATATCAGATTAGACTAGATAAACAGACAGACACACAGACAGATAAATAGATACATACATACATATATACTTATTTTATTAATCCCCAGAGGGAAATTAAGAATTTCAAAATAGAAAATATACAGTGGAGCTTAAGGCTACAGAATAATATAAGTTCATACTCTGAACTGCTTCCTTTGGATGAAACAATGGTAAATACTTAAGGTCAGCTTCCTGCTTGTCCTCAGCCATGTCACTTCCTGTCAGGACACATGTCACTTCCTGTCAGGAGCCTGTCCAGCCCTGGCAGGGAGTGAGTGCGGTCGGTTGGGGGAGTTTTACAGCAGCAAAGGGAGGTCTCCTCAAACATAAGCTCTTCCGCTCGGACTGACTGCATTGCCCTTGAAGACTGCCACAGGTGAAACTGGTTGGGGTGTCCATCTTTCCCGGGGGAGGGGCGCAGCATGTAGCTTGGGGTCCCATGATTTCCTGCCCGTATTCTCAATGCATGTGGTAGCTGCACGCTAAAGATACTCTGCTATTTATGGCGCGAGGAAATGGTGCTGAGTGTGCCCCCCCCCTCCCAGGAGCAGCAGGCCATTGTGTCTGAGCTCCCTGGTGCCGGATCTCCACCCAGTGTATCCAGTCAATGTTTAGTACTGGTCCATTATGGGCCACTACACACTCACAGCAAATTGACACGTGAAGATCCTTGGAGCATGTATGGGAGAGACCGTTGACTGACATCCTCTCCCAGTGGCCAAGGCAGAGCAGTACTGGGGGGCAAAGTTCAAAGGTTCAAAGGTTATGATAAGCAACCCAAAGGACACCCCCCCCAATTCAGGTGCCACCATACATCCCACACTCATATTCTGACCCTCTGTTCCCCAGTCCCACACGACCACGTTACTCTCAAAGCACAAAAGAACCCAGGACCCGGTACCGATGACCCGGGACTTGGGACCCAGGACCGCCACACTCACACATAAAGCCCCGCAATCAGGACTGCGCTCTGCCGGCTGTCTGCATCTTATGGCAAAGCAGTGAACATCAGTTGATTGAACAGATAGAAACTGGTTGGTTTACTCTATAAATGTTTCCATACATGGTTCATGGTGTCACCCATGCTTCCTGGTGGATGTTTACTGTAAAAATAAGGCACAACAGCATGTTCTTCCCAGGATCTGCACTCCAGAGGAGCACAGGGTGTTTTTTTTAATCCAGCTGTTTATGTTATTTCCCACAATTCACTGCTGCAGTGCTGTTCCTGGGCCTTCTGTCCTCCCATTGGCCACGCCCAGAACCCACCCTCACCCCCTCCCGCTGCAACACGGACAAGCCTGTGTCGTTCCTTCTCACACAGAAAATGGAATAATAAAAAAAAAAACTCACTCTGGATGAAAACAGAGCGCCATAAATTGTTTGTCCTTTATGAAGCCGTACAGTTGCGCTGCAGCCCCCCCCCCCACCCCCCCACGAGTGGGGCCGCTCTCCCTGCGTGCTGTGTAAACCTGACAGAGGCACATGACCCCCTCACTCCCGCAGTATAAGATAAAAGTCTTTAGGAGGCAAACGGTCTCAACAGACAAATTCCTTATCAAGCTGGAGTCTTTAAGGCTGGATCCACTGGATTAGCGACATAAAAGAACTATATATTATTCTCAGAAGAGCTTAGTGAGCAAAAAGCAGCCTCCTGTACATAAGTCAATTTATATTAGAATTTTCCTACATGCATTTTCTTGTTACCGTCAGTATGCAAAAATGGGGCTCGCTAACAAATAATGCATAATGTAATGCAGCCGTCGCATCAATAACCGCATTGGAGCTCTAAAAGAAAATGCGGAAGGAGAGAGGGAGAGTGTAAAAACAGGCCGTATAAAACACACAATACATTAAACACCAAAACGTCAAAAATATGAAGCTGCCTCTTAGCGGGGGAGACAGCCGGCCATTTATCTCCTGCCGGAGGCTGTGGCATGGGGGGGGGGGCAGGCGGGTGGGGGGGCTTCGGCGACACTGCAGCTGTTCCTGTTCTGCTCTGTCTTAAAAGAAGCATCTCAGTCTCCTAGGCCATCCAAAGAGGAAACGGGGTGGGGGCACAAGTAATTCAGAAAATAAAAGGAAAAAAAAATGGAGGCTTAGGGGTGGCCCAGAAAAGCCCCGCCCACGTGTGGCGTAGCGGTTAAGGTCCCGGGCCTGGGCCCGGGAAGGAGGTCGCCTTGATTGGCTCGGCATCAGCAGAAAGCCTGAGGAGCTTCGCAAGTATCTATCTCACTAGCTGCATAAATGTGGAATAGAGCTGAAATGTATGACAATGAAGCTTTGAGGTCCCGCCCTCCTGTTTAACGCTCAGCGGGCCCCTACCTCAAGTGAAACGTACCGTATCGCTTTACTTTTCCAAAACAGCTAATTCCATTGTTCTATCGGCAGCTACCATTGAAGTGGCAAATCACGGGGGGTGGCAGCACCATACCGCGATCAGCTAGAAACTCCCCGGCAAGTGACTTCTGGGGAGATCTTCATGGAGAAGCGGCAACCACATGGAAGCTGATGAAGATGATGAGGTCACTCCTCATTCCTCATTTTCCGGCATCTTTCAATCTTTCAGAATTCTAAATTTGACTGACGTACACATACTACAAAGAGAACCGAATTCACACGCATGCTTCGGACTAAACATACAACACAAGAAGGTCAACAATAAATTATTAACAAATGAAGAATCCCAGCAAGTGTGACCTGAGCAGCCCAAACAGAACCAGACTCCATCTCAGCCACCTGCTCTCCTCAGGTCCTGGATGAAAAGATCTCCTGCTCTTTGGTGCCACCTCAGCACCTCCGGGTCTGCTGACCCTCCCATCAGACAATCCTTTGAGATTAAGATCAATCTGGAGACCCTAACTGGGGATAAGTTGCTCGGGGGTTGGGTGGGGCCGATTTGGAACATCATCTTGCTCAGCCCACCCCCCCCCCCAATGTGACACATCCCCAGGAATCCCCAGCTCACACCAATCATAAAATCAGACTAAGCAGAAATAATGCAATAAAAATACCTCAGATCCTTCCGCCCTCAGACCAGCATTACATCTTACAGTCACTGCCTGCGCTGATTCACCCCCCCGCTTCTCACGCGCTCCTTCCGCCCTCAGACCAGATTTATGGACCTATGTGTCACATGACTACTGGGTCACCATTTTAAGATACCAAACCACAGCAAATGGAAAAAAATGAAAGCTGGGAATTAACAGGCATTAACAGTCATCGAAACGGCAGTTTAACTGCTGTCCTGTGGACACTGTTTGTTACACGGTTGCTAAGCAATAACCTTCTTTTGCCCTTATCTGCAGCGAACAATTTTCCACTTTGCCCGCTGTTCAAGACGCCTGTTTTCAAAGAGGTCATCCAGGGGGGTTTCTCCTCTCAATTTGGATTTTCCCTGGGACTGCAGTGACTTTGTCATGTCTGCTTCCTAACCCTCTACACTTGCCAATATCCCTGCATGCAGGACCATGAGAGCAGAGCCGACGCCGGGCAGCGTATGGCAGGGGGCAGGGGGCACCCTGGACTGGGCAGTGGTCCACTGCAGAACTGTCACTGACACTCTATGAGCATGTTCAGAGGCACCAGCTCACCTAACCGCATGTCTGCGGGCTGCTAGAGGAAACCAGAGAACCCAGAGGAAACACATGCAACGCTGGGGAACATGCACCCCTCCCAAAACACGGAGCCGGGGGGGGGAGGGGGTCTGGGCATCGCGACCCACAGCCCACCGGGTCACACCTCTGTACCGCTTGCCAAGGGCAACTAGTCTCACACTGAATATTTAACATGCTGGAAAACAACTTCTAAAATCCTGTGTAGAGCGCGAAGATGCAGTGCCCCCGCAGCCAAAAGCTGCCTCTCTTACAGCCTTTTTATTTCATACACGACATTTGGGAATTAAAAAGGCATGAGAGTTTCCATCCATTATTGCAAACTCCAAATGGCAAAGACTGCCAGGCCCAACGTGAAAGTCTGCTTGGAAATCAATAAATAAAAATAAAAACTTCTGTGTTTGTTTGTTCCTTCTTTTATCTTTTAAGAAAAGACACACTTGGAGCAGAACATGTCCCAGGTAGCCAGATGCTTCTGCAGTTGCTGGAAGAATAATTAGGCTATTTAAACAAAAACAAAAAAAAAAAAACTTTTCAGTGGAGCGTCGACTCTTTGCTGTTAATTTGAATGATCCGGACACTCTAATGGGGGCGAGTTGTGGAGAGAATGTAAAATTTAAGTGACATTTACTCCCTCGGTGACCCCCCCAATGGGCTTGCTGGAATTTCCCTGTCTCATTACTGCAGCCATGTCAGAGACGATTTCGGCGCAAAGTCAGTAATTATTCACATCACCAATGCATTGTGAAAAACAGTTAAAAATTTAGCAACAAGAAAGTGATGTGTTTCAAAACAAGGTAAAAAGCAGCATCTACATTCATCGATGTAACATGAATAATTGATGGGCCCCCAAACCACAAGGCCCTTGCAAAGCCCCTCCCTCAACATGCGCAGCAACATTTTGCTCCATTTTCAGCTCCGATTGGTGATAGAAGGGTTTTATCCAGACCAAAGCCTTGCTAAAAGTCAAAAACATGTTTGTCTTTCACCGGGACGTCCCCCCCCCGCATCCCATTCCTGGTCAGTCACACCGAGGAGACGTGCAGCTGTTGGTACCAGAGTATCTAAGGGTGGTAAGATCCCGCATGTTGGCCTCACACCTGGGCTGGTGATTTCCTGCAACCAGGCCTCATTTAGGACTTTGACTTAGACTTTCCTTAACTACCTCGGTTTTTGGACTGACACAGAGCCTTTCTAAACGTCCATCTATCTTCCAAATACTTATCCACGGTGAGCCTAACCCAGGAAGCACCCAGAAGGCAACATGGACGGAATACTAGGCTGAGAGCCAAATGAACAAACACAAACACACGCTAAGGACAAGTTAGAAAGTACAATTTTTCCAACTGTATGTCTGGATTGTGGAAGGAAGCCAGAACAGCCAGAGGAAATTCTTGAAACACGGGGTTAAGATGCACGCACATTGTGCACAGCAGGGGTGGAATTATATTAACAATACACACAAAAAATACAAATACTCATTCCGAAATACTCAATCAAAAGATATTTTAGATTCTTAAAGAATCTTAAAGATTCACTTATTTCCATGTTTGCTTAAGCTATTTCATTATTATCGTGGGTGACAGAAAGGAAAATATTAATGGATTATAAACATGAAAATTCCACCTTCGGCCCTTAACATGGCAGCTTGGCATTGATGTAAACGCATTCTTCACAGATATACAGGGAGACTACGCCTCTTCTTATATCATCTCTGGCATCCAGTGTTGCTCTGTGAGGGGCATTAGTACTAAAAATATGCAGCACTGTGAATAAGGGGCCCGCCTATGAATAAGGGGCCCGCCTATGAATAAGGGGGCCTCCTATGAGTAAGGGGCCCGCCTATGAATAAGGGGCCCACCTATGAGTAAGGGGCCCACCTATGAGTAAGGGGGCCTCCTATGAGTAAGGGGCCCGCCTATGAATAAGGGGGCCTCCTATGAGTAAGGGGCCCGCCTATGAATAAGGGGCCCACCTATGAGTAAGGGGGCCTCCTATGAGTAAGGGGGCCTCCTATGAGTAAGGGGCTCGCCTATGAATAAGGGGGCCTCCTATGAGTAAGGGGCCCGCCTATGAATAAGGGGGCCTCCTATGAGTAAGGGGCCCGCCTATGAATAAGGGGCCCACCTATGAGTAAGGGGGCCTCCTATGAGTAAGGGGGCCTCCTATGAGTAAGGGG